AAAAAAAAAAACACTTTTCTCCCCTTTTCTTAAGGTCCACTTTTTACGCTACGTTTTTTCTTCTTTCTGTTCAAATTTTCAAACTGTATTTTTTTTTTCAGCAAAAAACGCGCACTTTTTTTCTACACTGATAAGTAAAATTTTTCGGGAAATGTCAAACTGTTACACAAATAAACAGACAGATAATACATCAGTATTTGCGCCCATCAGCAATACTCCCAATTGCAAGCCATCATCATACCAACAAAATTCAGTATCTTAAACGATAGCAATACCAAATATCAACTTACACTTACAATGGCAGCATAAAACTGAATGTGGCATGAAAGAATAAGAATAAAAAACCGTTTCATCATTTCACCATCCTCTATTATTCCCCTAATACATTTCACCCCAGCACACATATATATATAAAAAGCATAGCTCAATTTTCAACTTGGCATCATAGATCAGTGTTCTGTTCTCCGTCATTTACTAGCGCTACTATCAAATAAACTAGACAAATGCAATTCACGCACAAAATATCAATGCAAACAAACGCAAACGCCATATCCCATATGCTCTCTACTGTCACTATGCTTTTTTTTTTGGTCTTTGCAACAGTAAAAGAACAACGATAAAAGTAACCAAGGAATAGATCAAAAAATCAGTCTATTTCATTTCCTAATTCAATACCTTTCCTCCACTAAAAAAAACATCAAGTTTAATCCTTAAAAAATAAACTGAAAGAAATGAATAGATTTTGATGGCAATTCTTCCCTTCCTCTCTCTCCCCGTTCTCCATTCCATTTACCCAACACCAATCTCTCTATAGAACCAAAACCAACGTTGTCGCCATTACCATCATAACCACCACCAACATCATCACAAATTTTATCATCATCAACGTCATCATCATCGCTATCGCCACCACCACCAACAACAATAGCAGCGCTCATATCAAGAAATATAACAAAAATGCATCAAAAATTGATCTTTCCAAACAAGTTGCTGATCAGTGAACTATATCTGGACTGTTCACTGCAATTGAAAAACAAAAAAACTTTTACGCCACCATTTTCTCATTTCACCAATTTTAACAACAGGCATTTTATTTCTTTCAATTTTACAGCTGGTTAATTGTCTTTTAAATATCAGTTAATATAATGAAATAACCAAAAATAAAAAACAGCAAAAAAAAAAAGAAAATCCAATCTACAGCATTTGTTACTACCAGGTGTCAATTTCAGTTCTTCTCGAACTCAAACATCAAAACTTCTACTTTTAGAAAACTACCTGCAACAGAAGATAAAAAATGATAAATGTTTCTTTCCTAACAGATAAATGTAATTTATTAGTTCTAAATTGAAAACCGCCACTTTTTACAACAACGATAAAATCAATGTCCTCTCCTTCTTCATTATCCTCTTCACCTATAATGATCTTTAAAGGTTTGACAACAGCTGTTGTCAAACTTCAACAACAAACGTTCTTTAATTTTTAATATTATAAACATTAGAAGAAAAGAACATATTTTTTCAATAAAAAAAACTATCAACAAACATACATGCAGCAAAACCGCTTAATGTAATTTTTTTTATGTTTTAATTAAAAATAGAAGAATGAATAGGCTAAAAAATGTTGATCTGTCTCTAAAACAAACAAACTTCATAATTGCAAAACCACTGAACTG